TAAAATTTTATTGAAAAAATTTAAAATTTAAAAAAGTTTGCAGGCAAATTTGGCTGCAAAACAATTTAAGGGATAGTTCTCATTACTTCATAATTTGTAATTTCGAGATATTAACATTATATTCGCATGATTAATTATAAGATTTCATGCAACAAAATTTTTAATAAGACTCATATTTTGCACGAGATATGCAGTCATTGTGTATTTCACATGAAGTCATATAATATGTACAAATATATGTAAGCCAAAGAAAAATACTATATTCATTCGCCAAAATAATATGAAGTTACTATCGATATTTGTATATACCCCCTCATGTATAATATCTGCCTATGTAAAGTACTCTGATCGGGCTTTAAAATGCCAAAATTTGTAAAAAACCCAGGGTACTTTGGTGAACAGAATATGGTATTTTAAAATTTATATGATTGTTCTCCTGACGTACTTATACTGTATGAAAAAACAGGTATTCAGTAATATTATCATTATAGATTCAGACAGGTGTATAAAATTATATACACATATTACATATAATTTAAATAGTAGAACTGATTACTTATAATTCTGGCCAGATTTGAAATAAAAAAGATCTGGGCTTGGCCAATAATCTGCAAATTTGACTAGAGTTATGAGTAATCGGTTCCACTATTTAGATTACAGAGATACACAAAAACAAAGTTTATTGGATCTTAATATCTTTAAATTAATTAGAGTAGATTTTAATAGTGCAGTAAAGATTAATGTAATGTTCTATGGACTAGGTAATAATGCTGGTCATGGGCAATTTAGTTAATTCTGGAAGATAATTTAAAATAATCATGTGCATCCAATCAAACTTAATAATCATGTGTAATATAAATTAAATAAAGTTTTTTATAGTATCATTTATAGGTAGGGTTGTGTTACATAAATTACAATTTTAGCGAGCGTCATACTAGTATTGTAAGCCGACTAGAGCAGCCGCAGCTAAGCCAGCTTAGCCGACTAAGCTAGCTGAAATAATATGGTCGGCTGGCTAATATGGCTAAAGGCCACATGATTCATTAGTAGGATTATGATAAATTCTGAGAAGGAAAATGAATAAACATAGAATAAACATGAAAAATTTCTGAAGTATTCTGAAAAGTATACTGTTAGCTAGCTGCTTAGCTGATGTTTTAGTTGGCTGGCTTAGCCAGTCGACTAAAGTCATGTGGCTTACAACACTACGTAATACATAAAGTATCAGATTTACAAAATTTCGGTCTGCATTATTGTATCAATTAATTTGAATATATGATCTGAAATGTAATTTCTAAATCGCTGAAAATTTGATATCAGAAACTAAATATCATGTATTCAAAATTACAATTACATGAAATTTTAATTTACCAAATCTTACACAGGCTTACGCAAAATTATGTAAAATTACTGTAATTTAACAACCCTATTTATGGGTTCTGAGTCTTTAATAATATTGCCCCAGTGCTTTAGATTTTCGATAATGTCTCTAGGTATTCAATACTGCTGTTTTGGGCACTTTTTGAATCTTCAATAGCATCATTATACCCTTTAAAATTGCCACCTCTAATGCTTTGGATCTTCAATATTGTCATTTTTAGTCTTCAATACTGTCATTTTTGGTGTCTTGAGTCTTCACTAGTGTCATCTTTGATGTTTTTGATTAATACAATTGTTTTTGATTTTTTAGGCTTTCAATAGTTGTCTCTGGTGTTTTGGGCCTTCAATAGTGTTGCTTCTAGTGCCTTGGATCTTAAATAGTGTTATCTCGTTCTTTGGGCCTTCAATAATGTCATTTCTGGTACTTTGGATTTTTATTGAAGTCATTTCTGATGCTTTTGGTCATCAATAGTGTCACCTGATGCTTCATAGGAAGACATTTATATGATTGGTTAATTTTGTCAATCTACCCATGATTGCCTGTGATAATTAACCAATCAAATTACATAATTTTTTTAAAACGTTTATCATTTTAATACTAGAAAACGAAGAAAACTTC